CACCTGAGACTTATATTACATATTGTAAAAAGGGGCATAATATGTCTCCTTTAAGTGAAATAAAAATAAAAAACTCAAATAAACTGATAAACTAAAATTAAAATTAAATTAAATAAAAACTAAAACAAACTAACAAACAGACTTGGTAAAATAACGGAAACTAAACGAAATAATTGGAAATTAAAACGAAATTTTAAAAAAACTCAAAACTATAATAGCCTTGGATTAGAATGACATGAGGGTGAGTAAATGATGACAGAATCTTCATTTTCTATTCTTAAATCACCATGCATCACAAAAAAAAGTGTATTTTTCACACTTTTACAACACTTTATTTCAAGTACATTCAGCAGTACATTTGAACCATATTTCAAAGATAACAGAAGTAATTATGAAATTATATATAAAAATGTACTTAAGTCCTACATAAGTTGGTCCTAAAAGCCCTCAACTAATTGCATTTAATATAAATGTACATTTTAATTTTATTCTAATTTAGAGTATATAATTGCAGTAATAAGCACTCTTTGTAAAAGTATGTTAAAGTGTACTTCTTTTCACAAGTTCAGTTCAGGCAGTCATCATTCTCACATACAAACAAGTGAACCCACACAAACACAGCCCAACATGCTGTACCTGCACATAGCAGCTGTCAGCAGAAAAATCCATCTGCATGACAAAGCTAGGGATGTCCCTGCAGCAGTTGATGCGGTTGAGCTGCGGTCCTAATGTCAGGTCGTAAAAATCTACTGCATTCTCACTGGAACCCACAGCCAGGTAGCGCGAGTCTGGACTGAACCTGAGGAAAAGAGACTTTAGTTGTTGCAATAGACCATGTTAATGTCAGAATGAAACAGCATTCACCTAGAAACAACTATAATGAAACTTTTTTCTGCCGGAAATGGAAATGGAAATGCATTTAGTATTTCATAATTGCAACTTTATTTCATATGTTAAAATTGCCTTTATTTTCTTGGAAACATAAAAAATATTTAAAAAAATTAAAAAAATAAAATTAAAAAAATATAAAAAATTAAATTAAATAAAAAATTAAATTAAATTAAATTAAATTACATTTTAGTGAATATGCTGAATTATTATGAAAATGTTTATAAAATGAATTAGCGTCAGTCTCACCTGATATCTTGTATGGCAGAGCGCTGATCTCTCTTCTTCCCCCAGATCTTGAGTGAGGTAACAAGGAGGATGATGAACTCTCCATTCTTCATGCCGATGGCCACCATGTCACCCTCTGGGCTGTAGCTGACCGCACGTGCAGGATGACCGAGGTTTACTTTATTCAGCATCTTCTGTTTTCCCATACAAGAGAGCATTTGAATCATCTGGTATCTCAGAAAAAATCACTGTGCACAGGCATTATATAATTTACCCTCTCTGAAATATCCCAGAGGCGCACAGTGCCGTCCTCAGCAGCAGACAGGAAGACGTCTCGGGTGGGGTGAGCTCCCAGTCCCCAGATAGGACCATCCATGTGGCCGTTCACCAGAATATTACACGCTGCATTCTTCTCACCAACCTCAATAATCTCAGCATTCCGAGTGCCTACGAGAATCTTCCCCTAAACAATCAAGAAAAAGGACACAGGGAGCCATACTATTTATAAGAAAAAAATGATTAACCAGCATGATCTTTCTGAGTAAGGCTAGTTTGTTCTTATTGGCTTTAGAAATATCATTTTACTTATTTTGTGTCCTTTCTTATCACAAATTCAAAAATTCATGGAATGAAATTTGTTTTTTTTCTCTCTCTCTCTTTTTACATATTCTATGATTTCTACAGCATTATTGCTATATTGAAGATCTGAAGATCTATCTATCTATCTATTTACAAGGCTGCATTTATTTGATCAAAACTACAGTAAAAACAGCAACATTATGGAAAATTGTTACAATTTAAAATAAATTTTCTAATT